AATCTAAGCTATTAATCTATTTGCTTAAAAACATCTCCTTCAGCTAAGTTTAGGGACTCTGTCCTTTGTTTTGGAGTTGCTACTGCACTTTATCTCACAGTGTGGATGTTGGATGCCTCCCAATGTTGGATTGCAGCTCTTACAATCCAGTGGGGGTGGAGTAGTAAAGGAAGGGCTTTTCAAAATGCATTTAAGTAGCAAAATAAACCAGATAGTTGCTTTGCTAATGTAATTGTATGCATTTGTTTTCATAGATCTGACTCTCCAGTCACACAGCTGATGAGTCTGGTTCCTCCTCCACTTCAGGCGCAGTCCTTTTCATAAGTAACTTTTCCCTATTGCCCTCTGGTGGAAGAGGCTTTCTTGTTCTTTTGCCTAGTGGCATCTGGAAGTTTGTCAAGGTGATAAAGTGTCCTTACCCATAGCAGGTCCAGTTCTTCTGTGTAAGTCAAACCTAATACATGGGCTTTTCATCACAGCAGTTTTTTGAGGCCTTCTCTGTGTCTTCCATGTGTGGGCTTATTATGAAACCGTGATTAATCCATGGGAACTGTGGAGATGTGGGCTGTAATGACAGATAGCATGGATATACTTCTCAGGGGACTGTGGTTTTCTGGATCCTGCTTAAGTTCCTTCGTCAGGTGATGACAGCTGTGCTTTAGCCAAGTGATTAAGTTATGACATATCTATCTCAGGCTGAGGATAATTTTTATGTTTTGGTGGCTGTTTTATTATACTTGAAGCAATTCCCAAAGCCAATCACATAGTACCGGATCAACTCAAAGGAACTTCTGTTTCCATGTCAGAATTTTAAGTGAGTAGTGAGATGCACTGAAAAATCTCTTGTTTTCTTCTTCTGAGACTTCTGAAATGGATCCCTAATGCTGGTCACACTCTTGCACCAATGCATCAGTGAGCACTTAAGCTCCTTTACTGGTTTTTATGAGAAATATTTCATTCTCTGTCATGTGCTAAATGGCTACCCAGAGACCTGTTGTACTTTACCAAGCACTGTACCACAGTAGAAATACTCAAGACTTGTTACACTAGAGTTACATGTGCCTTTTAATTGAAAATGTTTTGAGTTTACATGTTAGAAATTGTTTGCAGCTGGAGACTTACTGACATGGGATTCTTCAAGAAAAGCAATCCACACGTGTATCTCATGTTCATCTCTACCTTTTCATCCAGAGTTAATCTGATACTTGGCTGTGTTGGATTGTGTGGCTGAGAAAGCATGAAGATGGCATTAAGCGTATGCCTGGGCTGAGCAGGAGGAATGGTAGAAGTGAGGGTACCATGTACAAAACAATAATTTAAAGGAAAAAAATTCTCTTAAGCAAGAAAGCTCTTAAGCAGGAAGGTACTCAACTGTCACATCTTACAGGGATCTCTTTACCATGCAAGTGTATGCTTTTTGTCTTGGTGTTGTAGTTTTGTTTTCTCCTTGTAGAAAGGAGATCACTATTAAATTGATTAGGATTTAATGGTACCTTGCACAGTGCAGTTCTTTTGTGTCTGTAATTTTAACCAAGAAAACTCCTCTACTGCACTTTAATCTCCACCCCCACTAGTGTTTTGCAGGCAGTTATTTTTCTCTGTATTTTTTCCACAGTGCTAAATGTTCCTTTGTTTCTTATTTCACTCATTCTTCACATCCTGTCTGTCTGCTCAGCCTTTTATCCTTCTATTTTCCTGTATCAGCTTCTCAAAGCCATGTTTCAGGCTAGCTCATTCGTTGTGAGAAGCACAAACTTTTATACAGTGCACTTAGATATGTGTTAAACGAGCAATGAGGTGAAAGTATGGAAGTGCTTTCAGTGCACTGAATTAATCTGTGGTGCATCTCAGATTTGCTGAAGTTCTCAGGTGTGAGGCATTGCTGCTGTCTGCCAGGGTAACTCTTATTAGAGTAACCTGGAATTAGCCCTGATTAGCATAAATGAACTATGGCCATCAGGTCAGCAAGCTTCTAGTTAGTGTAAAGTTTCGTGTTAAGCTTTTAATCAGGAAAATATAGGCAATATTTTAGTAGCTCAGGAAAGCATAGTTTTCTGTGTTTTTTCTTGTCTGCAGGTGTCTGGCCACTAATATAAGTGTGTAATTACTTATTACTTAGAAATTCATCATCCTCTCCCACCCCCAGGAGATTACTTATTAGATTTATGCAACACAAGATATTAAAAACGCTTTTGTCTGTCACACAGCCATGGGCAGGGGAGGGGAATTTGCCAGTTGCTAATGGATACCTGGACGTTTTGTGTATGACCATGAAGAACAGCTTGTGCACTTTCACCCCTGATGTTCGCTGAATACCTTGGGTCTCATTTAGGTCAATAAGCCTTTATCAAAACGTCAGGAGTGAAAAATGTGTCTTGGTGTAAGCCGACTGGTTGTTCTCTCCAGTCACCAGGGTCTATAGGACAATCAATGTTCTCTAAGCTTGTCTGCATGTCATGCAAGGAGCTGGATGACAGTAACCATTGACTGCGTGTCTGTCTCATTGTCTTTGGGACAGCCCCCATTTGCATACTTGCCAGTGTGCCTGTTATCCAATGAACCATAGAGGGCCTTTAAAAAACGTACGCGCACAACTTCAATGCAAATTTCCTATGCGGAGAATACGTCCTTCTTTAAAGCACAATCCAGGCTTTCACTTTCTACCTTCTTGCCATAAAACTGAAGCTGTGATCCTGACAAGGCTACAGTGCATGGTCCGAGTGCTGCTCGTAGTTTCACTGTGCTAAAACATGAACTTTCCTCTGGGTTTTAATTTGCCTACCAAGAAATTTTTCTTGTTGTTCTTTTACTTTTGGTAATTGCTTTTGGGGATATCTGAACAGCATTATCTGTGCTATCACAGACTATGTGAGGCCATACATCCCTTCCTCAAATTAGTTATTTTGGGTGAAGGACAGTTTTTACTCCCTGTATGGTTGCTATTGTCTCTTGTTATGGGAGTTTCCTCTATGGTAGTGATAAAAGGAGACATGCTAGCCTTCTGCATACAGAAGACTACGTGGATGTTAAGAGTTTATTGACCGTGTCTGTGAAACGAATGTAATCACCTGATCCAAAAATGCAGCCTCTCAAGCTTTATGTTGCTGTGACAAATCAACAACACCTCATGTAAAGCTGAGCTTATAATTTTGCCATTCACTATAGGTTTATAAATGACATTAGGTGAAATTGGACAAAGGAAGAGTTTCATTGTTTTTGAAGTTTCTGTCATAAGACACAGGCTTTCCTTAAAATGTCTGCTGCAGATGCTGTTTCTTTAGATTTATGAAGTTCATTATGACTTTATTTTATTAAAAATATTTAATAATAGTCCCATTAAAAAAAATGTTCTGGTGGATCATTTAAAAATGAAACTGTAGCAGAGATTCTTGGATGTGTTGAAAGGTCCAACCAACAATCTGGACAGTTTCATTATATCTTGAAAATCTGTCTGCAATACAAGTGACTATAAGCAATTGTGATGAATTTTCTGCTGCATCAGACATCTCACACAGACTATGAGATTGCCAAAACTAAAGGAAAGAGTCCTGGCTAATGTTCACCTAGCTTTTCTGGAAGTGTCACAGAGCTGGACTTCAACACTGTAGTGCCCTGAGATTAACAGTTTGTTATGCCATCAGAAGAGTAGCTTTTTAGAGCCACAAAAAGGTAATAATGAATTAGACCAATGCATAACATTTTCCCCCCTCTTTTTGTTGTACACAGACCTATGATTTTACTCAGTATTCAGGGCAATGTCCCATGGATTTTTGAAGCTAATACTAATATGACTCCCATTCATCTTGACTAGACTAGGATTGTATCCTGGTTATTTTAGTTAATTTAGAAAACAATCATAGGTGCCATCTTGATTCCCATTTGCCAGTCTGCTATGAAAAACAGTGGTGAACCACGTGGCAATGTCAGAAGGCTGGATAAAAAGTTCATCACCATGTCACCTTCTCTGCAGTTGCTCTTTATATTAAATGACTTCATGAAATAAGTGTCTTGGTTTTATAATCTGCATTATCCTATATAAGTGTGATATTTTATGATTGTTTTTTCTGCTTTACACTTTCCATATGCCATGTGTCATGTGCTTTCAATTACAAGCCACTGTTCCTGTTCCAATTAGTAGATTCTGCTGTAGGCTCTGATAGAGAATGTGACCAGTTATTAATCAAGTTGTCCAGTAAAGACTTATTGCAGCTCCCTGATACTCAAGGAAACCATGCTGTGTATGCTGTGCACAACCAGTCTGTAGAAAAGCAAGGTTTATCTGCACTTTAGTAAGTTCCAAATATGTCATAATTGTTCCCCTGTCTAATCAACAAGAACGCCAGATGTCTATCACCTATCACTTTGCAGGCATTTCCAAAGTCATACCTTAGCATGAGTCTGTGGCTAACACATAGCTTGATACCAGCAGTGTGTCAGGACTAGACCTCTGTTTCTGCTGAAGTCTCTATTTGTTGACAGGAGGATGGGAAAGGCATGCTATGTTTTCAGTGCACCTGAAGGCTGACATATTGGTAATGGGTACTAGAAATCTGCCTTCAATCCATGTGAGATAAAAGGAAGACTGAAAAAGTATAAGTGGGAGGTTAAGCTGATACAGTGAATGGAATATGAAGCACACCTCTTCCAAAGTGAAATATGTGACTAAAAATATTCATTTTTTGCATATAGATTCTACTTGTTTTCTTTGGCTCAGTCAGGGAACCTTTTGTTTGAATTAGACCAAGTGAATTGCAGAGAATGCTTTTCAGTTTTAATATGTGTAGACAAGCCAAATAGCATGTAATGAAATATTGAAACTTGCTTTTAGTCTTTTCTTTCTTTACTCTTGCAGGTTTTTCTGTGTTACTTTAGACCATTTCAATATATTTGACATTTTTGTCACCTTGCAAATTTTATTTTAGTGTTTCTTAGTACACTCTGAAAAAAGATGAAAGTTGTAAAGTAGAGAATTAATCTAGTTCTCTCTCTGTTTCTTTTAGGAAATTGTATTAGTAGTATTCTTCGGAACAGAATATGTGGTTCGGTTATGGTCAGCAGGATGCCGCAGTAAATATGTTGGAATATGGGGAAGGCTTCGTTTTGCTAGGAAGCCTATTTCAATCATTGGTGAGTATGCACAGCTTGCAAAGTTGATGTAAACAATGAGTAAAACTTGTTCTTGAAAGTTTCGAGGAGTGGAATTCCTACAGTAGTTGAAGCCAAGTTAGAGTAAGAGCTCTTGTCATTAGTGTTAGTGTAGATCCGAATTTCCTTTCAGGAATCTGTGGCACTGTCATTTGAGAACAAATGTTGCTTGGTTTGTTTTTCTGGAAGAGCAGAGTGGTTTTTTTTCACAAGTGATCTGAAGTTGTGCCAGAAATAAGTTGGCCATAGTCCTGTCCCCTGTGACCTCAGGATCCCAGGCACTGTACAATAGCTACAACTGCATAATTTTAAATATACTGAACAGCTTTTATTTTTTTTTCTGTTGTCCCCCCCCAGCAGCCATTTAAATAGTTTATTGTGAGTTCATTTTGCACTCTGAGCTACGTCCTGCATGATGGAGCATGGTAGATGCACTGTAATTACTTTGTGTGGTTTTTGGATTAAAATACGGTTTTCAGTGATGCATTTGGAACTGGGCACCTGACTTCCCTTGATACTCACTGCAGTTCACCTCTTAATGCAACTTCCACGTTCTTAGAAATTACATCCATATATTCCATATATGTCACAAAACATTTTTTTTTTTTTAGAATGCTCATCATGTGTTTAACAATTTCACTGAAAGATACGTAATAATCCACAATCAGTCTGTATTTTGTTAGCCAATATTGAGAGAACTATATAAGATCCTTGCCCTGAAGCACTTAAAATATAAATAGATTAAACAAACCAGAGGAGTATTGTTACAGAAGCATAGTAATTCTTGTTCTGTGACATATTTTTTTCCACTACTCAGAAACATTATTTGTTGTTGAGCAGAGGAAATACTTTTTCATAAATTACTTACAATTTTGCTGAATATAGAATACAAAGGTTTGTACCTCGGTATTTTTACAATTATAAAATAGTTCAGTTTAGCTTCTCTGTGCATATATATATATATACATGTATATAAGCAAAAACTGTATCTCAGGTGTGACTGTAACTATAAAGTGGTTTTGACTGCATCTCTACACTCTTTCCGCAATCCATTTCTCTTGAGACCTAGAACAGTAGGGGTTCTGAAACATCATCCAGTTTATTTCAGCTTGGAAAGCAAAACAAAGTTCCGCTTTCCCAGATATGTTTCAAGGAGTATTTCTTTCTTCAAAATAAAGAGTTCCTTTCCAAATTAACTAAGCCTGAGGCACAGAGAGAGTACAGTCCTAGGGTAATGACTGACTTAAACTAAATTAGACTTATATGCTAATTCTCATTTTTCTCTCCCTTTTAGACTTTTAGGAGAGATGAAATAATTGTAGGGCAGTTTTCTTATATATGAAATAAATCCCAAAACCTCTGTCAATGAATAAAACACTGTCTAAACCAGCAGAGAAAATAAGATACACAGAAGAGATAATAGGTAGAAGCTGCTGAAATTTCTCATGGGTTATAGCTAGCAAGGATTACAGGCTGCTGAGGCTGCTTTACAGTATCCTATATCACAGTTGTCATTCATCCAGATTGTGGCCATCTTGGACAATCTCAGTATAACCTTTCTAGCATATCACATAGTTACATTTTCTTTATATGTTACAGCAGAGATCTTTTGAGATATATAAAATCTTAATTTGGGGTGACTGTTCAAATTGTTACAGTAATATTGACATTGGTTCTAGTCTTGCAGAAGTATTGCAAGATGCTGCTAACTCATTTTCTTAACTGACTTTTATTTTCCAGATTTAATTGTAGTTATTGCTTCCATGATAGTTCTTTGTGTGGGCTCTAAAGGTCAAGTCTTTGCAACCTCGGCTATCAGGTAATTATATGCAATAAATGAGAATAGTGCTGAGTAAGGTGGTTTGTTTTTTTTTTCTCTCTCTCTTTTTTTTTTTTTTTTTTTTAACCTTTTGTTCTAATTCTTGTGGGAGAAAATGAGTCACTGCTCAGTCAGGTAACGGATCACCAATCATGTAAAGGTGTGAAAACAGTGATCCCATTAAGTGTAAAGGAAATACAATTTTTCACATGTTGTCTGGTCATAATGCATTTATGTCAGGTGGGGAAAGAACCCCTGCTCCATTTCCCCAGCAAAGTGGGCGCTACCCAAATCCTATTTTAGTTTCTTAGCTAAGTTTTATAACAACTCTTTTGTGCTTCATGTCTCTGTCTTCAAGCTGTTTCTTCATAAAATGGCTGGTGCTTGTGACTTTCTGATGGACTGAATTTGCCTTATGCTCAGAAAAGTCACACCACTTGGTTTTCTTGAATGTCATTACAGTACATGGCAGTGTACTGTGTTCTGCACACTAGCTGCAGTGGTGCTTTAGGATTGCAGTGACTCTCATAAGAAGAGGATTTTAAAATATTATTTGACTGTTCAAAGTGCCTATGAAATTCGTCAGAGGTGAAGAAATCAGCTCTTTAGTTAGCTGTTTCTGTATGTTGTTACCCATCCTGGCAAAGAGGTGAAATACGAGCTGAATGATTTCTAGAAGCATTCACAGTTTGTGTCCAAAGTTCTTGAATCCTTGAATTATCCTTACCAGCCATGTGTACAAAGGTCTGTCCCTCTCATACAATCTCCCCATGCTGTCTTTGTAACAAACAAGAGGAAAGATGGGTGAATGGAGTGAAAAGAGACAAGCTGATAAGTCTAAAATAAAGTACTATGTCTCTCTCTAAACAGTTCTTTGGAAGAGACAGACTTCCTGTCTCTGCCTCCATTTCTTCTCTTGTCTCTTTGGTCTCTTCATTCATTTAAGAATTGTGTTCCAGGGGCATCCGCTTTCTGCAGATATTGCGAATGCTACATGTTGACCGTCAGGGTGGTACATGGAGACTGCTGGGATCAGTAGTGTTCATACACAGACAAGTAAGTTGGGGCACTCTGAGGAATGCTGTAATAATTAATGCAGAAGTCGTTACATTAAGAGCAACATGTATGCAGACATGCTGATGACGTCAAATATATTTATTGTGGAGGCAGGCAGTCATTTATTTTAACCAAGTGTGATGGTTCTGCCTTGTTCAAGGGACAGAAAGTTCCTAAAAGATTAAAAATATTTACCTCCACTTTGGCAAACTTTTGACTTGTAGTTGAGCATAACCACAGGAAATGAGACTTCTGAAAGGTAGTCTGAGTATTTCTAAAAATACCTATCCTATTCCAGAGTTGTTTTCAATGTGGCACTGCCTGAAAAAATTACCCAACTACTTTTTGTTGAACAAAAGGGTAATGAATCATGCTTGCAGGTGGGAAGATTGTTTTGACTGTGTGAGCTCAGTGGATTTTTGTTAATTGGTGCAGCCAACAATTGCTGTCAATGTTTATTAAGTGCTGAAATGACATTCTTCTGTTCCATTATCTTTTAAAAACCATCACTGATAGGTAATATAAGTGTCTCAATAATATTATAAAATGGTAGAATAGTTAGGGTTGGAAAGGACCTTAAGATCATCAAGTTCCAACCCCTCTGCCATAGTGCTGTTATTTTGATTTTCTTTTCAGGAACTGATAACTACACTCTACATTGGATTTCTGGGCCTGATTTTTTCCTCTTATTTTGTATACCTGGCTGAAAAAGATGCTGTAAATGATTCTGGAGAAACAGAGTTTGGCAGCTATGCAGATGCGCTGTGGTGGGGAGTAGTAAGTATAACAATTTCGAATGTTGTAAACACAGCTGACACCTTCAAATGGGAAGTAAAGTTCAAGGAAGCAGCACTTGAAATGGCCTCTTCTGCACTTCAGTACACTTTCTGGTTTTGTAATTTGTGAAAATAAGAAAATTCTACTGATGATCAGTGGTTTTATTTGGTAGTTACAGTCTTATGTAATCGAAAGTGATCAACTTTTGTATACAAGGTGTAGAAACATGTAGTCTTATTTCTTTATAGTCTTCCCTTCTGTTATAGTGATTATTTCTTCCTTTCTCACTGTAGGGTTCAGCCTTCTAAGGCGATAAGTCTTGCTGAATCAGGGCTAGTGTTTTGGGGTAATTTTGAGTGTGTGTTTGTTTTTCTGGGGAGGAGGTTTCTTTTTTTCTTTTTTTTTTTTTTTTACCCAATATCTATGGTTTGCAGTTTGGTCTGGGACAGTGATTCCCTATTTATTCAGAACAGACTAAGTCCAGAACAAGGAGCATCTGAGATACTTGAGGAATCCAGGGACAGGACTGTTTTAAAGTGATCATATTGCTTTGGAATCCACTAAGTATCCTTATATGGCATTTGTCTGTGCTATGTCAATGTATAATCTTGCTCAGAGATTTCTCGGGTTTCTTTAGGATGCTGCCATGGTTTGTTGTGAATGTATCTTTAATTCTGCTGATAAATTTCAACTTTCTTGCTGTTGCTAGTGACAGTTGTCTTCTCTTTTTGTTTACTATAGGTACTTACTAGTTTGGCTGCTGTATTCTGGGACTATATTTGAGTAAATATTTTAATTTTGTTGCTTTTGCTAGTAACAATTCCCTCTTTCTTTTCTCATGATATGCAAATATTAGGTTGGCTGCTCTGCACTGCAATTGTTTTCCCTTTCCTTTTCCTATTACAATTCAAAAAAAGATACTTTTTGGAAGCTGTTTTTTTATATTATTGCCATTCAAGCAGTGGCCTGGTTTTATGCGCTTTAGCTGTAGGTAGCTTAATAAAACAAACTGTCATCATTGAGTGCTGCAGGTCTTAAGGATGCATGGACATCAACTAATGATTCCATGCTTACATTTTCAAAATGTGCTGATCTTCTGTCGTCTTCTCGTTGATGGTTTAAATCAAAAGGCACTGTTCCTTTTTTTGTTAAGAATGAGACTACTAGTAAGTATATGTGCAAGAAAGACAGGCCTAACACCTCTTTCACTAATAAAACATTTTTTTAAAGATTTTTTTTAAATAAACCTCTTCATGTGCATGTGCTTTTATAGTCTTCTGCCTACAAACAGTACCACTTGCTGTTTCAGGAAGGAAAGATCTATTGATAAGCAAGTCTATTGCAGGTCTCCTGGTGCTAAGATACATATGTAGCCATTTTTTAATACAGTGGGTTTTGTTTAGGTTACTACTAAGATTTGCTCAGAATTGTTTCCTCTTGCTGACTGCCACAGTTAAATACAGCCTCTTTTAGGATCAGAAAACTTACTATGTAGGACAAGGAAGTGGCTTTCTGGCAAGTAGTTTTTTCAATGCTTTAATGTCATCACAGCATTTTTATTTTCCAATACAGTGGTCAGATGACACAGTAACTAACAGTGGCAGATATAGCTGCATTTAAAAACACATGCTGTCATTGGTGTTGGCATTAAAAATCAAGTATGTGACAAATTGGCTTACTGAAAATACAGTAAAGCCTTCCATAGAAGCAGTATGATCTGTCAGGATATTGAAATATTGTCCTTTCAGGGAATTATTAGTCACTTAATAGGCATGCCAGTTATTTTGTCTGATTACAGTGAGCTTATTTAATCAATAAATTTATTTGTGGTAATATTCTTTCTCCATTATAACTTCTATTATGTTGCAGCAGGCCACTTGAAGTGTGAGACTGCATTCAATGAACACAGATGAACACGGTCATGTAATTTCTCTGATATTAGAAGTAGAATTTGATGCTCTTGTTCTGCTCTAAACATAGATGCTATACTTAGCAAACAAAACTGAACTGGATTCAGGTCCATCCATTTCTCATCTTTTGATAATATTCTTCATGTTTTCTGCTAAGAAAAAGCCCTGTAAAATTAGGACAATAGCTTGGAGGTGTATCAGGATGCTTCTCAAACTCCAAAACCTCAAAGTGTTAGGTCTCAAAAGTTTCGACTTTGCTTTAGCCCGAATTTTCAGAATAGCTTAAATACCACAAATTCTGGTCACTGAAAACTTGTCTCAGTCTGTTTTGAACTGGACACAAAGAAGAGGATACTTCATAGGTCCTGTCTCAAACACTGTCGTTGATAATTGACCTGTATGGCAATGTATCTGATCATACTTCTCTGAAAGTGCATTTACCTTACATAGAGAATGCTTCTAGAAGTACATAATAATGTTTTTACATCCCCTTTCTCACTCTACAACATTGCACTTTTTTTATCAGTGGATCTGCAATGCTAAACAAGTTCCTTGGGTAGCAACAGTAGGATATGTAGCATAGCATAAAGTAAACCATATTAAAGTTCTCTGTTACCACAATTCAGCTGCATCTGGAATTGGGTACTTTTATATTACTGTGCTTTGCTGACTGCAGGCATACCCATAGGGTGCATAACTTTTAATTACATGTTCTTCGTTGTTGTTATTTATAAATCTATATTGCTTTTTTATTTCCATATGTAAATTGGCCTCCTGGGCTTTATTTGAATTTCCTTGAGAACCCTGGGATCTAGCCTATTCACTGTTCCAGTTTATGAGCTTCTTGAAGAAACCCAAGGTTACCTTATGGCATAAAGTAAAGACTTGTCTGTTGTTATTGCTGGGTTTGAATGCAGCACATGTTCTATAAATAATTCTGCCAATGGCTGCATATCTGAATGTCTTTCAAAAGACTAGTTGAACTTTTGCAAGTAAAACACAAGTAACTGATGCATCTTTCAGCTCCCCAATATCAGTATTCAAAATTAGTGTGCTTATGTTGACCTTCACGTCCAGACTAACAGTCTTAAACACTTAGGATAGAGTCTGGACAAAAACCCCACAATAATAAGTAAATAAATAACAGATGCTAAGAAATTAAAAATAGTGTACTTCATGTTCTTGCCAAATCTGCCAAATGTGACCACTGTCAGGCACTGTTATTGCCTCAGGCAGACTGAGGGAAGCTGTCGTTTTGATATCCACTGAATAATACACAATTTCTAACCTTCGCAGCTGAAAAAAACGTCCTCCGAGAAAACTGTTATGTGGATTGTGCTAACAGTCTCTTTGATCATGAAGACTGTTTGCCACAAGCAATGATTAAATATAGCCATGCATGGATATTATGCTGTTCCTGTTCTTTGAATTGCATCAAGCAACTGTCTGCAAGTACCAGCTTTAGCCAAGAGTTTCTTTTTCATTTATTTCATCAATATATGATTTCTCACCAAGGACTGAATTCAACAAAACATCGATAAGTCTGCTTGCTTCTAAGCATACAGAAAGCCATGTTCCTATTTATCAGTATGTGCTTCATGTAAATAGAAAGTCAAAACTGTGGGAAAGCTTTGCTGAAAAGTTGCAGGAAATAACACCTGAAACTACACGTGCATAGAATTTTTGCTAAATTAGAACAGTTCTGATCTAATTTATAAATAGTTGAACATAAATATTGAAAAAATGTTGCATGAAAGGAATCTCGTGTTATTCAGAACCCTTTTTTTCCCCCCTTATAAATAAAAAAGCTGCTGAGGAATGTACACTGACTTCAGTGTTAGACAGAAGGTGACACTTATTCTTTCTGTGGTTCACATGTCAAGAATTCCAACTATAGAGCTGTCATATCCTTTTTAATTTTTATTTTTCTAATTTTTTGGGAGGATGTGTTTTGGATTTTTGGGGGAGGGTTGTTTATCTTATGAATTTTTTGAGTGTTAGTCAGAAGATATGAGGGTTATTATTTATGAATGCAATCTCTGCATCTCACAAGTGCCTTCTCATCTCTGAGCTTCAGCTCCATGAGCAGTTCCAACTACATTTTGTCCTCATTTAATGGAAATCTGTGGGGTGGATGTAGAGATACCCTTTTAAATTCCTAGTCACAAATCACAGATGTAGATGTTCTTCCATCTTGTGTCCATGTATATGTTTGCTACTGAGTTCAGATCTAAAATTGTCTGTTCACTCCAAGTAAAAACGATCATCATAAGGATGAAATGAAAATGATCAAATAACCATCCTTCTGGGAGGTTTTAAGTCTTTTTACTGTACTACGTTTTCCTAATTTAGTTATCATTTTATTTTTGTAGGGGTGCTTAGGGTGGGGAGGGAAGCTCAGATGAACCCCAACACTGCCTATACCTTCACTAATAATGAACAATTCTCCCTATTTTAGTGTAAGTTCTGTACCTTGTCCTTCTTGATTACTACTGCCAGAATGATTCAGGGAATGAATAAGCTATTTTAAAAGAGCAAGTGAAAACAGCTTTTATTTGTGAGTCGAAACATCCTGAGAGGGATTCAGCAGCCTTTGGAGTGTGATGTGTTGAAGGTGTGTGTACTGCAGGAGTGAGACAACAGAAGAGGGGAGAGGCATAAACTGAGCCATGAAACGATGGAACAGATAAACAAGGCTGGAAAAACATCTTTCTGAAATGAAGACGGGAGCTTACAAGAATGTCTGGTACCATCAGAAGCATGAGGTTCTGACAGAACGTCCCAACAGGAACAGTAAGGGGAAAGCCAGTCCATTTTCAGATGATCTAGGGTGGCCAGTAATTTGGTCAGAACTGATGGCTGAAAATTACACCTTGAGGGGTATTAAACTAAGATTTAAGAGTTATGGCTAAGTAGCATTAAAAGGATCTGTAATTTATGAGACATGACACTGAAAACATATTCTGTTTGTTGGTTTTGCAGTTGGATGTGTACTTCCATTTCGTTTTGTATCCTAAGTTATTAGAAGTGTTTCAGTGTCCTTCAGATGTAGTTGTGTCTTTAGTTATGTACTCAGTTGCATTGAGAATGGTGGTTTGAGCCTGCAATGACAGCTGCATGAAGTGACTGAATTTTTAAGTAGAAAAAGAATCCAAATATCCCCTTTAAATGTTTGTAATAGTAGTGACCAGGAAGTTCTTTCTTCAGCTTTGGATTACGATTTTAATTTCAGTGTTTCAAAACATTTGTGTCCTGTATAATGCAGTTTCTTAAGCTGTTCATCTGAAGGATGTAACTTGATTCTTTTCAGAGTGCTGCAATGTACAGAGAGGGGATGGGGAGCAGAAAGTGAAATTTCTGTCGTGTGAGTCAGTTCTTATTGCTAACATCTTTATATGCACAAGGAAGAAAAATACTGTAATTTTGGAAATGAATAGCAAAAGATCACACTAGGGTATTTTTGTGGGTTTTTTTTTCTTTTTTTTGGCTTTATACAGAGCATACTTCACAGTAAAATAAAATCGTGAGTGTCTAATCTGTTTGCACTTGTGCTATATGGATTTCAGCAACTTGGAAAAAATTCACTTTGTATTCAGCTTGCATAAATGCAGCTACTGAGTAAGATGTCGAGCAGTAAGGCTTCTAATGTGTTCATTACATGTAGGTTTACAGGAGAGTATTCCAACCATCTGGCAATTTACTATACCTCAGTTATAAAGAAGTCAAGGAATAGGTTGATGTTGCTGATATTCTTATATTACTTGATTTAATCAGGATGGGTATTGTGAGTGGGTCAGAAAATTCTGAGTGTTATTTGATATGCAAAACAATACATAGTGCAATTGATGTTGACATTGCAGCACTGCAAATTTAAAAACAAAGTAGCTAAGGTATTTTCTGTAAGCTTGGCTTATATGCTTGGCTTTTTAGCTTGTGTTTGCTCCCTGAGTCCTGCTTTTTTAATGCCTCTGAGTCATGCATTCTTGTATTTTGTACATATTTAACTATCTAAATTTTTCAAGGTGCACAGCAAGGATTTTGTTAACAGATCATTGTTACTCACCTGATTAGATTGCTGTCTTGCTTTAGCCTTGAATCAAAGCTCCTTCTTATTCAGTGGTGACAAACATTACTGTTTCTTCTTTGCTGTGTAGATTTTTGCTTCATATTTCCTCCTTCAGACTACTGATGCATATTTAATAGGAACAAGATTAGTCTTAATACCAAAGCCTGTGGTGAAGTATATCAGATAAAAGTTCTGAAATAGTGAATGGATGAATAAGATTTTGTTCCTAATTAAAACAATTAGTTCTACATGTGACTTTTCAATGAAAATTTAATGTGTGAGCTCTTGTATAAATTTAATTTCATTATGGTAACATATTTACTATGCTAGAGTAGAAGTTGAGTCAGTATTTCCATTATAAGATCGTATTTTACAACTGTAAAATTAGTATTGTACTCTTTAGGGGGTTATAATCATCTGACTGTAAAAATTCATTTAGGGCAGAAACTTGGCATGTAAGGTTTCAACAGCATACATCTTGGGGAAAAAAGAAAACGTAATTTTAGGATACAGTGCATTTGTTGATGGATTAGAGTTATGAGGGCAGAGAAAAATGTTAACTTAAATGCACACTTTGTTTTGGAATCCGATTTGCAAAATATTTTATTAAGAAAATTCTAAACAAACAGAACAGAGAATACTTTTCTTGTGTCACTGGTGCTTCATATAGACCAATTGAGAAATGATGGGTAGGGGGGTGATGGGAAAGTGGAGACAAGTACTTCTTAGTTGCATATGAATTTTTCTTCTGTTATAATTCAGTCAGCTCAAATGCACCTATTTCTTTTCATGTTTCTACTTAATGTATATATTTTGATATGATGTTAAGATTTTAACACAGAGTAGTTGATAAAGCTTGTCAGTGACAAGCATTTGTAAATATTTTCAAAAACTGAGGCATAAACCACTATCTTCTCTCATAATATTTTTCTTAAGAAGATATCAGAGGCCATTACTTTTCCTGTAGTTGTATTTCCTGTTTTATACTGCATTTTTTTAACAGGAAATTTTAATTTGAATGTAGGATATTTATTTTTTTTAAATTGATCCTCTTATGTAGGTAGGAGGTAGTTATCCCTTCAGTTCCTTATCAGGCCCTGAATTAGGATGGTATTTCGACAACACTTTCAGGAATGCAGGCAAAAAGGTACTTGGGTACTTAACTTGCCTTACTAATTCTTAAAATGCTTTTGTATGATATGAAACAGTTTTGGAAATAAGCCACATCTTAAAAACTTGTGCTAAAAAATTAAATGCTAATACTTGAATATTTTGCATATCAGCTGCAATAAACATTTCACATTACCACCTCAAGCAGTTAGTGCTTTGTTGTGTGTTTAACAGCCACGTAATGATGTTGTTTAGAAGGTGGACAGTTTGACTATGGATAGCTTACTTTGTGTGTTTCTGAGCTACAGCTCAGGTCAGAAATTACATCCATATGTTTTCTGTTTGCTATCTCATGTCGTACTAGGATTGGACAGTTATTAAAGTGGTCAACTGCCACACTTTTACTGAAGCACTTGTCATAACCTTTTACACCCCCAAACCCAGGTTCTCTGTCCCTTCATCCCCTTAACATACATCTTGCCTCTGTAACTCTGCCCCTCCCTTCTCTCCTCCCCTAGAGATGCTGCCCTGGGCATTGCCTGCACTTCTGCAGTTGCTGGGTTGTATGCATTACAGCAGACAGGTGAAGTAGGAGCAACTGCAGGACAAGGTGGGGATAGCCCGTGTCTATTACCATCTGGGACTAACATCCTCTGTGTCCTGGGCACCTGAAGACCATGCTTTCAGAAAAAAATCTGGACTGCCAGCAATTGAGGTGTGCTTCAACTGCTTGAGGACTTCATGTGGTTTCACATGCACTGATCTGGTTAGACTGTTCAAAGTTACAGATAAAATCTCTCTAATTTCCAAATTCGAAAATAGCTTGTGTCATAGGTGAATTTAAATTGCTTGCAGATGCCAGATGTATCCTTCTACTTCAAACAAATCCATTCTTTCCTTGAGCTCATGCAAATAATGACTTATTAAGCCTTGTTATGCTACATCACTGTGGTGGTAATCTTTGCTTCAGTGTTTTGAAACCCAAACTCAACAGATGTTTCCTGCATGTGTGCATTAAATTGTCTGTTCTTACTCTCTATGTATTACATGAATTAGTGATTCGTTAGACTATGTTTTCTGGATCTTTACTGCATGGAAATTTTTCGGCTATGCTATTTATACCAATATTATTCTCTGGAGTACTTCATGTCTGACCCCAGTCTGTGGTTAGAGTATTTATATGTTTTTTCTGTGCAAAAGCCCTGGAATGCTCTCAGCAAATATCTCCTGCCCTTAAAGAAAAGAACTGTTGGCAGTGTACCCCTAAGGAAAGTGTATGACACAGGCAGGCAACCCATTTCCTAGTAACTTCATATGCTGTAAAGGTGACTCAGCCATGAAGACTTAAAGGGTTTACTTTAGGAGATTTTAAAAAAGTATTTTATTGTAATTCAATTTCCTATACCTTTTTCCATCTATTGTAGGTGGGATCGTAAACCTGAAGGGGAGAGTTACGTTCATTAATGTCACACAGCCTGTCATTAGAAGAGTTGGGAATGCAGTTAATGTTTCTTTAAAATAAATAAAAAAGGAAGAAAGACTAACAACTCAAACTTGCCACATTAGTACTTGCTGTAATGCTTTATGTATTTCTCTTTACAGGTGACTGTTACAACTATTGGCTATGGAGATAAAGTGCCTCAGACTTGGATAGGAAAGACCATTGCATCTTGTTTTTCAGTATTTGCAATTTCATTTTTTGCACTACCTGCGGTAGGTTATCTTGTGCTTTTGCTGGCAATTTGGTGTTGACTTATTAGTTGTCAGAGGAAATTTTGTTATTGTTATACAGTGTTTATTGTATGCCTCACTAGATTTGGTATATACTTGAGAAGGATGTTTAATTCAAATTACTTTTTCTGCCCATCCCGGAAGTGAAAGATGCGGAAATTATTTCTCATGCTAATAAGAAATTGGGATTAAGTGGGCCCTACAGTGGGACTGAGTGTGCCCTCAGCAAATTTGCTGATGACACCAAGCTGTGTGGCTCGGTTGATACGCTGGAGGGAAAGGAATGCCATCCAGAGGGACCTCGACACTCTTGTGAGGTGGGCTGATGCCAACCTCATGAAGTTTAACCATGCCAAGTGCAAGGTCCTACACCTGGGTTGGAGCAATCCCAGGCACAGCTACAGGTTGGGCAGAGAAGAGATTCAGAGCAGCCCTGCGCAGAAGGACTTGGGGGTGCTGGTTGATGAGAAAATGAACATGAGCAGGCAGCGTGAGCTCGCAGCCCAGAAAGCCAACTGTATCCTGGGCTGCATCAAAAGGAGCATGACCAGCAGGTCAAAGGAGGTGATCCTGCCCCTCTGCTCTGCTCTTGTGAGACCTCACCTGGAGTATTGTGTGCAGTTCTGGTGTCCTCAACATAAAAAGGACATGGAACTGTTGGAACAAGTCCAGAGGAGGGCCACGAGAATGATCAGGGGACTGGAGCACCTCCCATATGAAGACAGGCTGAGAAAGTTGGGGCTGTTCAGTCTGGAGAAGAGAAGGCTGCGTGGAGACCTCATAGCAGCCTTCCAGTACCTGAAGGGGGCCTATAAGGATGCTGGGGAGGGTCTCTTCATTAGGGCCTGTAGTGATAGGACAAGGGATAACAGGTTCAAACTTAAACAGGGGAAGTTTAGATTGGATATAAGGAGGAAATTCTTTCCTGTTAGAGTGGTGAGGTACTGGAATGGGTTGCCCAGGAAGGTTGTGAATGCTCCATCCCTGGCAGTGTTCAAGGCCAGGTTGGACGAAGCCTTGGGTGAGATGGTTTAGTGTGAGGTCTCCCTCCCCATGTCAGGGGTGTTAGAACTAGATGATCTCAAGGTCCTTTCCAACCCTAACTATTCTATGAGTCTATGATTCTAATTATTTCTGGAATCAGCGACTTAGTGGTGTTTTAGCTTTTTAAGGCATTCACTCATAGCTTATTCAACTGATTAAGTTCAGGGTGAACTGCAGAGTTCTCATCCACATCCTTCTTCTAGCAAAGCTGCTGGAAAGGTGTCTCTGTTAGAGAGACAACAATAAATAACCAAGGACACTGATGGAGCTCTTTGCCAGATTAGCATCTGTCCACGGCCAAAGTCCTATTTTCAAAAGTGACCTAGGGCTGAGATTTTAAAGGTGTAATAGCACTTTGCACTGAGAACAAGTTCCAAAGTAGTTTCTAACAAGAAACAAGGCATTTGAGTACCAAGGGTAAATTCAAAATTGGTGAAACCTGGACTGTGGTTTAAAAACTGAAATGTTCAGTGCCAAGGCTAGTTAAGGGTTTGGGAGTGGGGTTTCTCTGTGGTGTTTTTGTGTTTTTGGTTTCTCCACCCCTGCCACTCCACCCTCCAATTTAGCAATACCCCTGAATTGTGCTGTTAAATTTTTTTGCACAATCTGAACTGTGCTGTTAAAATGTTCATTTTTCAACAAGTGTTTCAGTTCAGTGTCATGAACAATTGTGTTTTCAGAGGCTTGTGTAGTTGTGGTAGGGAAGTGGTGGGGTTAAATACAGGATGGATGAGAAGAATATTTTTATACCAGTGTGGTCACAAAAATTCTTTGCAACATGAACTGGTAGCGTTTTAAACTTTGTTGGCTTTTTAAAATTAGTCAGTTACTTTAGAGGCACACAGCCTTTTGCAGAGGAGTGTAATTAAATGTAAATTTTTAGACTCTCCAACATAAGTTTGCCTTTAAAGCATATTCTTTCTCCCTCCTCACTGTAATCTCTATCACATTTATTCCTTGTTTAGAAGAGAGATCTGGTAAATGAAATGATCTGTAAGAAAAATGCTGGAAGATCCCATTTTGACCAAAGAGTTGTGGGGTTTATTTGTGTTTGCTTCTGTTTGGTTGGTTGGTTTAGTTTGTTTTGTTTAATTTTTATTTTTTTCCCCTCAGACTTGAGTGCCAGTAAAGATGTTTTATAAATAAGGTGTAGCAGCCCCACCTTCACAGAGCTGCTTTTATGTTTACCTATGAGATTTCCCTAGTCATTTATAGAAGTGAAACAACAGCAAACACCCTTTTATCAATGTGTGATTATTACTGAATTAAATTGTTCTTGTGAGTAGGCCCAAAGAGAAATTTAGGGTTTGAAGCTCTAGCAGTAAATAGTTGATAGGGGGTAATTATTGCACGCTGCCTTGTTGCCTTTTTAAATATGAGGAGCTGGCTGAAGTAATTGTTGTGGCCAAACACAACGAGCATGGGTTCTTAATTTAGCAAAGGTCCTTCATTTCTAAGATCTAAGTGATCTTAGAGAAACATTAGCTCTTTGGTCTTTACTAAATAAACACAATAGGAAGGGCCTTTCCTCTTCCTTTCAAAGCACTTGAGTAGTACATTTCTTAAAGGTTGAGCCATGATCCCTGTCTGCTCTGACACCTTGACTACCATAAGTAAAGAATGAATTATGCTTTTGTTGGGTAGGTGTAGTCATGTAAGCTGATTTATAGAAGATCTTATTTTTATCTCTTTTATTAAACCTCTGTTAAATATGTCTATAGCTATGCAAATGACTATATAAATGACTTGCACTACACTCAATTTTGGACTTAATATTTGTACTGTGTTTGGAGGGTATTTTGGGTTGTACACCATCCAGTGCCATTAGTCCATGTCCCTTGTCCTGAGGGTGAATTAGATAGCCTTGTGTTGAACTCACTGAAGTCCTGACCATTATTTTGTAGTATTTCTTTCCCTCTTCTTTGTCCTCTTCTCCCAGCATGGCTTACCATACTACAGTTAAAAGGTCTTTCTTGTGACCTGAACAGTGCCATGGCAAAGCTTTACTTTTCATAAAAATGAAGTTAGGCACATCAGTTAATATTTCTCCTTATTCTTTCATTCCCCTGGACAAGCATTTATAAGGCTTTTAGAGGGTATGAAGTATCCTTTCTGCTCACTCTTTAGTATTTGAGTCCAGTTGACTTAAATAGGCTTTGGATCAGGGCATGACAGCATTCATAGTTTGTTTCAACAAGTAATACTAACTCAGTCTAAAAACTTAACAGCATTAAGTCATTTCCTCTAAAAAATTATTTGGGTTTTATGATGCTGAATGGAAGTTTATTAATGCAACAGAATTTGGTAAGATTATGTGTGTTTTTCTCCCCTTCCCTTAAAAAAAAAATTAGATCTGTGTTTTCTTTCTTCCCACAGGGAATTCTTGGTTCAGGCTTTGCCCTAAAGGTACAACAGAAACAAAGACAGAAGCATTTCAACCGTCAAATTCCAGCTGCTGCTTCTCTCATACAGGTACTGACTTCTTGCATTTTGATTACTATAGCTTATTTCCATTTATAGTTTTTTGTGGCTTTTTTTTTTTTTTTCCTAAACTGTTGGCAGTATTTTCATGCCTGATTCCCCCTAGAAATTGAACAGGAGTTACAGATGTCGTGGTTTAAAACCAGGCAGATAACTCATTCACTCACTCTCCCCCTTCTTTCCCTTCCCCTACTCCCGGAGGGATGGAGAGGAGAATCAAAAAGAATGCAACTCCCACAGGTTGAGATAAGAACAGTTTAGTAACTAAGGTATAACACAAATCACTACTGCTACCACCAATAATAATAATGATAAAGGAAATAACAAGGGAAGAGAATACAACATCTCACCACCAGCCAACTGATAACTCGGCCCCCCAGCCCGACCAAGCTCTGACCAATACCTCCTCCAACCCCGCAGTCTCCCAGCCCTTCCGGCTAACTCCCAGTTACATCCTGGGCATGGCGTGCTGTGGTATGGAATACCTCTTTGGTCAGTTTGGGTCAGGTGTCCTGTCTCTGCTTCCTCCTGGCTCCCCCTCCTCCCTGGCAGAGCATGAGGACCACAGAGTCCTTGGCCAAACCAAAACATCCTTGTTATCAGCTCTGTTCCCAGGCCGAAAGTCAAAACACTGCACTGCACCAGCTACCAAGAAGGAGAAACATGACTGCTACTGCTGAACCCAGGATAGTCTTCTAAATGGTTTTGGAAATCTGACCTTTAATGTGAACTATAGAGCAGAAAAATTCACTTCCAAATCGATGCAACTGTTTAATTCAGCTGTTTAAAATCAAAACTGAAGCCTATCTTGTAGTTATTGAACAATTTACCTGGAGAAAACGTTATGGAAATGCTATGCTTGCAGTAGTGAAAGACAGAGGAGGCTTCACATGAATTTGTAGTTTTAAAGTACATCGTTCCTTATAAAAAGTCAGATAATCTTCATTTTCCATGGGACAAATAAATTCTTAAAAATATCAAATTTAGGAGAATTAAGTCAGAATGTTAAATGGGAAGATCTTGTCTGAACTTTTCAGCTCCAGGGTATGTGGCTGGGAACAACTGGAGTTCAGCAAAATCAGCCTTTTCTTGTAGGATACAGGCAGAAAAATTTTGATCCTCTCTGTTAAAAATACAGTTGCATCAGAAAGGTCAATGAGATTTTATCCTTTACTTCAGTGGAGCCAGCAATTCACCCTGGGGAAGTATTAATATTGTTTTATTCTAGGTTTTATCAGCTTTTCCTCCCTTACTCAGTATCTGCCTGTAGCTTTAGAAGCACAGGGATCAAATTTAAAAGAAATCTAGATGTGCATCTAAGCCGCATCATTTTTGCGTTCTCTTATTTCTCTAGCTTCATGAGTGAATGTGGATTTCTAGGTCAGGCTCTTTATGGAAACAGTAGCTAACTGTTAAAGGTTATGCTTGAAACTAAACAGTCCCAGAGTTAATGTGAAAAAGGTTTAAATTTAGGGCTCTGGTTAGAGGCAGAAATTAGCCAAGAATTTTCAGACACAGTGTGTTTCGTTTGGATTGCATGGTCAGAAAAGGTATGGGTTTGTAAAGAATAATTTTTTAGTGTTCCCACTGATTCTTTTGGGAAATGAACCCCAAATTAGAGGAAGCCAGAGACTTCATGTCCAGAGTGTTGTACTTGGCTCCATCAGAAATGTTGAGAAGGAGTAGAGGATAGACAATGAGTTGCTGATTACCTGTTCTCAATAGTGGTAATTATGATTTACTAATAGTCTCAGACTTCTAAAGACCCAATTTAATAAGTGCTCTACAAATAACTTACAAAAAGATTATTTTTAAGCCAAAAGGTTTATGAAGTAAGTACAAGACAGCCGCTGAAATGAGTGATACATTTTATTTTTTGTTTTCCTGTATTCCTTCTATTTTCTTCTGGAGGACTGTTGTTTCTTTTGTATGTTATTAACCATGATGAGAACTACATGGCGACTATCTGATCCTTTACTTTCCAACTGCTTCTGTTTTCCTGTGTCATTCTGCCTTGCTCTGGTTTTTTTCATCTTGTATTTTCTGGACTTTGCCACTTTAAATTTGTGCCACTTTAAATTTGTGTATGTTTATATGTCCTTTTTTCATGTAGTGTGTGATTATTAACCAACTCTGATATATTTACACATTTAAGAGAGAATGCAGTCATGTTTTGTCCCTGATTGGTCTTCTTTCCCAGTGCTGTTTTTCCTCCTTTTTGTCTTAGAACATAGTACTTTACTCATTGGTGGTTGGCAGAAGGGACAATTGGTTTGCGGTTTTGGCTCCTGGTTAACCATTGCTGATCTTCCCTCATGCCCTCAATCTTACTTCTTTGTATGAATATAGCCCTACTGACCGTGTCACAATGGCTTTTTTTCTGATAGTGTTCTGTGAGTCAGGGAAGAATAATTTTTGTTTTCTGAGTAGAAGCCTGAAATATAGGATGCAATAGGCAAAATGCTCAAAGTCAGAGAGGGAAACTGGGGCTGTGCAAGAAATTCAACCCCAATCTTTTGAGTGCAGTCTGGAATTCTCTCTTGTTACTTGTGGCTAATGTGAACAAAAGTTGCACTTGAAAAGACTGACCTTCCCTTCTGGTTTCCCCAATTCAAACTATGTGGTTTCTGTTTACTAAATAAAGATTCTAAACTACGCTGAGTTCAGGTTTCCAGTGGGGAAATTCAATACTATTAAATAAAAATGACTAACATGCTACTTGGAAGTTCCTTTGTACTACAGATAGCTACAAATCTGATTGCATTCATTGTTTTGTTGCTTAAAACATTTGTTCTAGACTGCATGGCGATGCTACGCAGCAGAAAACCCAGACTCTTCTACATGGAAAATATATATTAGAAAACCTGCCAGAAATTATCATTTGCTGTCACCCAGCCCAAAACCGAAGAAATCAGTGATGGTACCAGTAACTAACATTTCCTATTATAGTAATTTAAAACTTCTTAGTTAGCTTGAATTTATTTATTCTCTAGAGGCTATGTTGTGTTTGTGTTACAGATTATTACTTGATTTCAAAGTTTCATTTTCATTTCAGTTTTGAGATTTTCAGTATATAAACATTTTAAACTGTAACTTAATTTCCTTCTGTTCTCAAGGTTGACTTTTTTAATGGATCTGTGGGTTTGGAAAAGAGCAATAATGACCTAACTCAAGCACATCAATCAGTAACTTATTGTTGCTACTGTTTCCAAAACAGTAACTCTTAATTGGGTAAAAAAAACAAAACAAAACAAAAACAAAACACCAACCCAACCAAAAACCCCCCAAAACAACAAAACCACCAACAAAAAAAAACCAAACCAGCAACAAAAAATCCCACCCCCAAAACCACAGAACAACAAAAAAAAAAAACAACTGCTGCTTCTCTTGATTATTAATTTTGTGGCTTTCTAAGCTTCTATGGTAAAGGCATCTTGTGCCTATGTAAGATAATATTTTGGTATAAACCAATTCCATAATTTGAGATCGATTTTTTTTTTTTTTTTTTTTTTTTATTTTTGCTTAAAGAACAGCAACAAAATGCATTTTTCAGAATCTTTAGATTATGTAATAATTCATCCTCACTATTGTAAAAGTATTGCAGAGTAGTCTCAGGTTTGAAGGAGAGGATGGTGTGCAAAAATCTTCCCTAGAAACCCAGGCTCGTCTAAGCTCAGTGACAATATATCCCTTTGCTTTTTGTTGAAGGTATTATTTATTGCACCCATAAAATGGTAAAGATATTCTAGAATAATTTTATTTAGATAAACTGTCACAGAGGTAGCAGATTTTTTTTTCTGCAGGCAAGGGATTTGCTAATGATAATGTGCAGAACTCTAATGATTAGCCAGTTTTGGTGGGATGGGGTCAATCGTGCTGAGAAATGTGTGGTATACCATCATGAAAATGCAATTCATCAGGCACTCTTTTGTCTGGTTATAGTTCACTGGGGACTGCATTATTATTGAAGACATTGCTGAAGAGACATTTAAATTTGTCTTGGCTTGGGTAATCTAGTTTATGTGTGTTTTTAGGTTAAAAGGAAGAAATTTAAATTAGACAAAGACAATGGGCCTTCTTCTCCAGATAGGACATTAACTGTTCCACACATAACTTATGACCACGTGATGGAGGACAGGAAACCTGATTTCAGTTTTGAAGCATATGAAAATCCTGGTAAGAATGTCCATTATAAAATGTTGGTATCTGTAATGCCTTCTATTAATGATTTACACAGAGGTCCTCTTTAATTTCTGAAGGAGAAAGAATGAGGACAGAATACACTCGTCATTCTAAAGCACAAGCACTTTTATTTTGGACTTTGATTGCTATCTTGTCTGTTAAGATTCAGCCATTCCTTTAATGAGCATACTCCACTGCAGGCAAACTAAGATTGTCATTTTTACTTGCTAGAAGAGCTACTGTCTCTAAGGCTGGTGCATACATTCACCAATTCTGCACTTGTCTGAAACTACAGGAATTAGCTGACAGCCTTTCCACATGAAATTTACTGAGAGGTGTTACTATTGTGCTTGTACTTCAATCAAAAAGGATTCACATGTCTTGGCTGCACTGAACAGTCTGCTACATGAAACCATCATGTGCTCCTGCCATCTGCTCAGTGGAGTAGGCTGTGACTCAAATTTTGAAGTTAGATGTACTTAGGATAAATGTGGATCCACCTGTATTAACTGACACTGTACAAAATGGTATAGTATTGGGGAAAGAAAGAAAGAACTTTAATAGTCACCTTTCAATTAATGGCTTAGTTATAGTTAATTTAGCTGTAATGAACTTCCAAAATAACTCTGAATTTACAATGTGGCTTTTTTACAGATGTACTTTTATTAGAAGTTCTACTATGTATTGCTCAAATTTTGGCAACAAGAATGAGCTTTAATTTTTAGGTGTGTTTTATTGCTACTTTAAGTACTTATTTGTTTTCTCCTCAAAATTTTGTCTGACCTGATTAAGCCTAATGTCCTTTAAAATAAGATAGCAATGTGGGCTGGCACCAGGCATATTTTAATTCAACCAGAAAGTCTCATCTTCAGTATCCTTTTTTCCATACGCTTCTGTCTTGTCGTGTTTTGTAACACCGATGCTTCGCCACTTTTTCTCTGCCTCTGTTTAGGAATGACTGTTAATTGCATCTGTTGGTAGAAATGACATAGCTGTTAAAAGGTGCACAAGTACTAAGTTTAGTCTGTTCTCAGACTTTCACTACAGATATCTTCCTTCAAAACAATCCAATCAATGAATTGTACAACTGCTTAGATTTGTAGAGTTCCACCTTTTATCACTAAGTTTCTAAGTTGATTGAAGGACAATATGATTTGCAGGCAGCCTACTATTGCCACTTCAAAAATCAGCTGTGTAGCTTTCAATTAAAGGATTTTCTCTTAATTTCTTCTGACACGTATCTTTTTTCTTTTTCATCTGTATTCTGCTCTCTCTAAATATTTACAAGTATACAGGACAAGCAGGAATGTTAAAATTGCTTGGTAAGTTGAGGAAAATAATTTTATCTATGGCATGCCAGCTTATAACAATGTAATGTTTGCTGTGCATTTCATGTGTGTCTGGTGCCATATAGTTTCCAAGAAATCTTTTGCAGCCAAGGAGATCTAGACAGACAAAAATGTACATTCTCACATTTGTTGTCACAATTGCACCCACAGTTCCATTACAAAGAGAAAAGTGGACACTCATTTACATAAGTAGATGATCTGTTTCTCTCCTTTTTTTATTAAGAAAAGTTGCTTATAACCAACAGAAAAAGATAATTGACATATAAATAAATTATAATTCATCCAGTAGTTAAATTATCTGAGCATATAGCTGAGAATAAATTTCTAAGCAAATAGATTGGGATGGAAAAATTTCCAGATTTAACCTCCAATATTGTGCATTCTGGAGTATACACGTCTGTTCCTATAAAAATGTGCTGTAGCTATTTGTGAACAGATGGGGACCCATAAATTAAATCATTTATTTTACTGTTTGTCTGGATTCTGGGATCATTTAAGCAGCCATGTAGTCCTGTGACATTTCTAATGTGCTTTCTTAGGCACTTTCTTAACAATTGAGTGTTCCCCAAAGACTCTAGGGTTAGAGCTAGGTCTGGGCAAAACCCCTCTGATTTAGTGAAAGTGCTGTGAGCCACCTGTAAGTTGTCTTAGTTGTCATCCATTAAAGACAATGGAGGCTTCTTTTCAGCAATAGAATGCAAGGATGCTCAGGCTTGGATTAAATCATCTGAAAATACAAGGTTCAGTTTTTGTCCTCAGAACCCATGTGGAACACAGGTGCAATCAAGGTGGTAAAATAGCAGAAAAGAAACTGAAGCTCCTTGGCTACCCCTGACCAAATCTTGATTTGCCAATTTTCCGATTCCACTTTTCTCCTATATTTCAAGTGGTGCATCTCCACTGGGGATCAAGCTCAGAAGAGCAGCAAGAGCTGCTGAAGTCACCTGTTTTACATGAACAAGAAGTTCTTTCATCTGAGGGAAATATCAGAGGAGCTTTGCCAGCCACCCATAGGTTCAGCTTCAATTTCCTAGCCAGGCAGCATGAGCTCAGTGGACCTGAGAGGGTTACCTAACACTGTTCTCACAGTGACTTCAAGAAATGTTGTCCCAGTGTGTGAGTCCAAAGGCATTTCTTAATGAAATAGTTATTAAAAGGATAATACTATTCAAAATAAGTAAGCATGGCATGAACGTTACATTTTGCTGAGTCTCTTTCTCATCATCGACTCCTCTTTCTTGCCTGAAACTTTTCCCCAAGAAATTCAGCTTGAGGCAGTCTCACTTGGCGTAGATGGTTCTAGTGGGCAGCTTCAAATGGTCTGTATGGGGTGCATCAGGCAGCTCAAAACATGGAGTGGCAGTACTGGTCTCACCACCTGGTAGCACCGAAGTCTGACTAGAAACTGGCTACACCATGAATGGTATGAACCGGAGCAAGAGGGTTCTGACCTGTAGAAGGTTGTACACTTTGGAAAGGGAGATGCTAGAAGAAACACTAAAGTCAAGAAGGAAGGGACAAACATACAGATTACCTTTCTCAAAATACAACTTGCATGTAGGGAGAAATGTCCTGCAGCAGGTGACACTGTCATGAAGAATGGGCTGACTCCCCTGGTGGCAATTTCATGTTCTGCTAAGGTGTAATGCACACTAAGAGTTTCATACAAACTCTTTTCCACAGTATTTTTTTATTTTGTGTTTAAAGATGTCAGGTACAGCATACTATATTTTAGGTATGTCTGCATCTCCTCAGCTGCCTGCCTGGAGCTTTTTTCTCCCCCCCACCCCTCCACCTCTGTTTTATGTGCGTCTTTACTCTAACTCAGATTGTCAGCGCTCCTGGCCATCCTTTTCTGCAGACCAGCAGTCTTCCAGTGCTCCTTCCTCTCCAGGTAAAGCTCATAATATTTCATTGCTCTGTCACCTTTGTTAATTACTAAATCCTTGCAATTCTTTGTCTGGAGTTATCTGGTGTGGCACAGAAAATTATATAGATGATTTTTAAAGGAAGAAGGCCTGTCAGTATTTTGAGTTTGGAAAGTTGCTCAGGTTGTGAAGTGCAAATGTTTAAATGAAATAAATCTTTTGTAGAACAGAAGTATTTTCTAAATGCACTAATTGAAACTCAGATTTTCCATGAAAAGTGCTGTGAAGTGTTTAAATTTATTGTCTGTGCTTGCAAAAAAGGAAGTGTAAAATATTTTCTGTCCTACCAGCCAAATATGCCACTACCAGAAAAACATCTGCATACATGTCATATTGTATATAAAATTGTTGTGTTGGTAGTATAGAAAACACATCAGTAATTTCTTGTTATTGTGTTTATAATCCTTCATTCAAGGTTCATAGAATCATTGAATAGCTTGGGTTGGAAGGGACCTTTTAAAGGTCATCTAGTCCAACCCTCCTGCAATCAGCAGGGACAACTCGGGTTTCTCAGAGCCCTGTCCAACCTCACCTTGAATGTTTCTGAAGGTTCACAATTTCTGTTCTAAAGCAGGGGTTCTTATTGTGGGGCGTGTATTTTCTGCCGTTTCAAAATAGGGCTTGGCTCAACATTATCACATGGATAGTTGTGCCTGTTACCATAGCTGCTGCTGCTGCTGTTCATCAGAAATTGAGAAAATAAAGCTTGGAGCCCCCTGAATGATAGTAAATGTCCCTTGTGACAGCTATTTCCTGTTTTATATTCACTCATTATTATGCATTGAAAATGAGTTCCTAAAGCTTCATTTTTTTATTCCTTTAGCCTGCTTATTTAGAAATCTGGTGTCGTGTCTTTTTCTTTTTTTTTAAACACTGTTCTGTGACAGACTCCGCAAAATTCCAGTAGCTATGAATTAATTTTTATAAATTAAAAAAATATGCTGCAACAGCATGTGCTCCCTGGTGCTCTGCTTGAGCCTTGTCTCAAGGCACTTTGTGACAGGGGAGCTCTCATTTATGCCACGTTCTTTCCTTGGTTCCTCGTTTCTGTCTAAGCAGGTTGCATGGTTGTGGTTTGGAGTGGTTCCTCCTTCGTTTGGAAGCAGCAACATAGATTTAAGAATGAGAGCATAAAGAGCAGAGGGCTGGACTGGTCAGCAGAACAGACTGATCATAGTTACATTCTTGTTAGGAATAAAAAGAGGAAGGGAGATACCATGTTTGCCTCCTATAAAGCAGCTCTTCAACTCTATTCTCAGATAACAGCACTTTCAGATAGTCTGAGGTACGGGGTTGGCTTCTTGTTCCTTTTTCATGGTGCCACACCTCCTCTCCCCTCCCATGAAGCTGAAAAGGGGAGTCTTGAGTGATCCAAGAATAGCCATTTCTACAAATCCACATGTGTACTGTGTGTATTGTATCTCTCATAAGCAGTTTAGTGAGTGTTCAGCAAACACTTCACATGGTTTTAAGTTCAGCAGTTTTCTGACTTGTCATCAGCAAAACTGAAAAAGCTGTTTTCTTCTTGCCCAGAAACTAGGAAAGTTTCATTTGTATCTTGTAAAAATGAAAACAGAAAATTACTTTAGTGAAAGCCAAGATGAATCTGTTTGACAAGACATTTTGCTGCATATCTGAACCAGGAACTGTTTTGCTTGTTTCACAGCCACTATCTTGGATGAAAGCTACATCAAAGTGATTAAATAATATGGTACTAAAACTGAAAACAAGAAAGCTAACATTTGCTAAAACTTACTGTATAATTCTAGTTTTTAAGTGCTGCAAGTGGCTCCTGTTTTTAAGAAGTTTATCTCTTAGCACTTGTGTCTCCCATTTTTTAATGTGATTTCAGAGGGTTTCCTTTCCTATTACAATTTTTTGGGAGCAGACTTTAGTATTGTAATTTTAAATGGCCATGTGTGTGATGATATAACATTTTCTCTTCTGATTATTTGTAAACATTCAAAACCATTTCTGCTATATATCTACTTACTTGAGTAAAATGGTTGCATTTAAAAAGAAAATCTTTTCCATGATATCCCCATTTCTTTTCTTACTAGATTCAGCTTCCTTTAAGTTAACTATTTCTGTGGCATTCCATTTAGTTTTCATGTAGCATTTGGGCAGGGCATTCTTCACTGTTATAATATAAAGTATTTTATTTAATACAGTAAATTCATAAATTACAACACTGTTACAATGTCAGTGAACAAGCCGGCCAGTTAAAGATTTCTGTGGAGGTGTCACAATTTACCAATTATTTCTACATAATTTTCCTTGGTTTTTTATTCTCTATAGAATTCATATAGAGTATGAATTCCTATAGAGAATGAATACATATAGACATGTATAAATATCATAGTGATTTATTTATAGTTAAATTTTGTATTTCTGTAAGAAAAGTTAGAGCCATGCTGGAAAAAGCACTTAGTGTTCTTAATGTTAGAGTCTGGAAGAATCCTAGAGCCTGAATTTAAAAATGAAATCTGTAATACTCTGCCTAATTTCCTGGATGTGTATTAAGTGTTGGTATACAAGTAACTTTGCCCCTAAAAATTTGCACTATCTGAAGTTTTTTGAAGTTGCCTTCATAACAAGGACCTCCTATTGGTTACCTGAGTATCTTGACACCTGCTTCATGTCTCGGCTCAAAGATGAGGCATCCTTGTGCCTAAAGTGTGAGAGGGATTGGGAACCAGTAGACCAACTCTGTGTGTGACAGGAGCTGACTGCTCACTGTGAAAATGCCTTGGCTCCTTTGTTGATGTAGGTCTGATTTCTTCATCCAGAAACTGGTATTATAAACTAAAACATGAAGTAGAGTTGATGTAAACAGGAACTGGTCTTGTCATTGTCTGGCACTTACGCACTATTGCCATAGTGTGGTGGTTCATGGTATGGCTGAGTATTGTACAGTAAGTTTTAATGCATGATGCAGCCTGTGGTATAAATACTCTAGATTGTAGTGTATAAGGATTATGAACAACAACAGCAAAAAGGAAACAAATGCTCATTTTAAGCCTTCGGTGGAAGTTGAAATTATTTGGGTAGAAGAGTTAAAGTTTTGCTTTTCATGAACTCTGCAGTATATACATTTTTTTGGTAGCAACTTCCTTTTTCAATATTGTGTTAAAACATACACAGTATTAAAGAGATCCAAATGATGCGTAGACCTTTCTTGAACAAAACTAATGCTATTGCTTTAACTGTTATCTACATGTTTCCTCGCAGTGAAAAAAAGCCCGACTTTTTTAGATGTGAGCACAGGACACTTCATCAGGACCAGCAGTTTTGCCGATGAGCTTGATCTGGAGGGTGAGACACTGTTGACCCCAATAACTCACATCTCACAGTAAGTCAAGGCTATTGAATTGTGCATTAGTTGACTTAGACAAGAGAAGCCAGTTCAGGTGGGAGGAGCTGAAATGTGGAGCTGATAGGGCTATCTCAGATATTTGCGTCAAACTTTTTACCTTGAAGTTGGTGTACACTGTTCTGAGTGCCAGTAAATCTTCATGTTGACCTAAAGAAGAGTTCACTTGGCTGTGAAACAAGGCTTTCGGTTTTAGCTAATGGCAGCTAGTGGCTGATAGCCTCAAGATTTTCACATGGAGACAATGTGTGGGAGTACTTGCCTGTTGAAAATTATATTACTCCCTCCACCATTTCCCTGTGGAACAGCTGTAAAGTGCAAATTTTAAAATACTACTGTTGTGAAATAAGCCTTTTATTTCAACAGCACCTTCTCTAATGGTCAAGTGATGATCTGCATTGGAAAATAAGATCTGTTTTCATCTTTATTACTGCTTTGTGGCATGCAAAAGTTATCTGAAATAAGCCTATATATTTTTATTCTTTGTTGTTTTCCACATCTTTTATGCTAAAATGTTATCACCAGTTTCTCAAATTATTCTAAAAAAAATGAGAATTACAAAGGGTTTTTATTCAAATGGCTTTAAAAAACATAATTTCTGTCATTGTTTAATTCAGAGTCCTGACAATTGCTTATTATTTACCATAGCTGATATGTGACAGCACATCATCTAGCAGAGGAATGAGACAATTCTTTCACTTCCTAGTCTTAGAAATCTGAAGATTTCTTCAGTGAAACCACAAAAGAAAATTCTTGGTATACTTGTATTTCTGACATACAAAACATGCAGAAATGCCTGCTGCCAATTTTCAGGCCTTCTTTCTCTCTAGTATAAATAGCAGAGAACCACAAATGTACTTTTATAACCGCTTTAAAAGGACCTTTCTTTTTTTGTGTTGTGTTTTTTTTTTTTTTATTGTAGGTTTAGGGGGCATCTTCCCTGCCCCCAAGCAAAAGGACTTGCATTTTCAGCTAAATCACCTGAATGTAATACAGTTGTAGGCAGAGGATTTAGAGACTTGTATTCTGGATTTCTTAGTGGTACAAGCAGGAGGAGGAGGAAGTAATAAATTTCCTTAAGCCTGAGACAAGAATAACAGAGCTGCAAAACCAGACTTAGAAGTTTGTTTTGCATAGCTTTTTTTCTTTAAACTTTAATTTACCGCAACATTGCAGGCTTTCCTTAAGAGAAAGAAGCTTTGGTGCTAGGAGTTTTCAGTATCCTTTTTTGGATTTGGGAATGATTTAGTTATTTCTCATTATCACTTCCATTGATACAATTCGAATAACAAGGTGCTCTATCACTTTAAAGTCCAACTTGTGTAGCTGCTGAGATTTTTTTTCCTATAAACTACTGTGGAAGACCTTAGGATATAGGTAATGTGTATCAGTTGAAGAACCTTACCATATTAACATCCTAGTCTTTTAGCAACTTGTGTGTTTCTCTTTTATTTCCTGAATTTTTAGTTGTAACCTTTGTTGAAATCTCCCTAGGTTGCTCTAGGTCATGAGTGACGGGGTGGTACAAATCATGTCCCCATATATGGCTTGAATTGAGTCTGTGCTAGGGTGGAAGAAAATGAAAGTTGTGTTTCTTTTAAGACTTTGGTTTTAAATTCAAACCTGGATAAATTGGATTAAATGTTAAACTGGGTAAAATAATAATTGAAATGTCTCTTTGAAGCAGTGCATTTTCTTTGTATGCAGTTTAATAAAAGGCCTGAAACAATGCCAGGTCATGGATATAAGGGTTTGGCAAAAAGTTAGAAAAAACCCTGTGTTTTGTGATGTCAGTTATAGTATTGGCATTGCTTGCATTTCAGGCAGTTGAAAAGCAAGTTCCTGTTGCGTGTTTCACTGGATAGCCAGGTTGCTGGATGGTGAAGACCAGTCAATTTTCCTGAATTATTTAGACAAATGTTTTTCATTCTTCATTTCAAAGTCCTAGGGAACAAATATTTATGATCTGCTTACACGTTAGTAGGACCTGCATGCTAAACATGTGGGCATAGAATTAAGGATCGAATTTAGAATTGTCCATTAGGTAGATCTCTGTGCAAAGCCACGTACTAATTTTCTGTGTAGTAAAAGTGGTTAGTCATTTCAGATCCATGTCTGTGTGTATGTTTAATTCAGGCTTGAAAGTCATGCTGTGCCTGAGAGAATCTAGGATGAATTCCTTTGTTCTGATGGCCCCAGTTGCAAAACATTTTATTTCCTTAAAGACATCATATATACGGTATGATTGCTCCAGATTTGTTGGTAAGGAAATGAGCAACCTATGCAAATCTAAACCCAAATACTTAACAAAAATACAGGACCAGCTATGAAAACAAAATAGTATGGAGAAGTCGAATTAAGCACAAATATCTCTAGTTTCAGGTCTTAAAAGTAATTCATACTCTTATCAAAGGAACAGAACCATGAAGACAGTTTCAGAAGTGGAAGCATAATGTAAAGCACTCGATCCAAGATGCTTGGATTTGGGATTCATAGAACTACTATATATTTATTGCAATATATGAATTACCTTTCTGTGGTTTAATGTTAAGCTCATTCCAGAATAAACATGAAGTTTTGAAAGTCCTAAATATCTGGGTAAATATTACTCAGCTAATAGAGACATGCAACTGGAAAGTGACTTTTAGTTGAAAGTATGAAAAATATTTCCTTTGACAGGCAGTGTAAGTCTGGCAAGAGTGTAGGTTACCTACTATGTTACTGACAGCAAACACTTGGCATCATTGATGCTTAAAAAGAATGAAGCTAAACTTGCCTTAGGCCACAGAAAGAATGCCATCTTTCAGCCTTTTTGACAATGAGCTTTAGGCTTTAAAGACCCCATTAAATCGAAGTCAGTGCCCAACTTGTTTGTGCAAAAACTGTTCTCTTTTTGTAAATGTAGGTGCATATTCCCACTGAATGCAATAGGACTGGTTTTGTGTCTAATTATAAAAATGCAGGTGTGGTTGTTTTTGTTGTGTTTTGTTTTGGTTTTTTTTGCAGGACATACTTCCAGCTGTATTTGAAATTGGTTTTGAAATGAATATTCTACTAAAGGTAGCCCTATTTCTGTGTAATTAGAAACAGGAAATCTTTCACATAGAAAAGGTTACTGTACCAGTTAATCATTTGTCACTACCACTTTGAGGAAACAAAAGTAATAATAGAAGCACTTTCAGACCTGATGTTGAAGCAGGAAAGTCAGTAAAATGTCATAGAACAAACCAGATTGCAGCAGGTGCAAGCAGAAATACAGAATAAGATAGCAGTGAATGGAAGAGTGACTGTTTTTCCTTCTATTTGAGAAGTCTAATAAGCAGAAGATTCAGATTCAAGCAGAGCAATCTGTGTAATTAGCTATTATGAATCTCACCTATAAAATTAACTGTAAGAGTTTGAAGAATGCATTACACTGTGTTGTTTGAGATAAGACTTGGCTTTTCAGTGGCTTGTTTAAATGATTGTTATGGTCTGTTCTGCCGTAAAAGTGAAATAGGGAACTGGGCTGTAGCAATACCACACCTCTCCTTTAGACTTTCCACTGGTTTTTTTCTCTCTAATCAGTGTGTTTGGTATTGCCACCCTTTCCCTGTTTCACTTTTTTTGGTATTTTTTTCTGTTTGCATTTTGAAGCACTGGAAAATTGTTACTACTTGTAGCTAAGCCTCAGCTACCAATAGGTTCTCTCCCTGTGTTCGTATAATTGTTTAGTTTCAGCACCTTTTTTTTATCTTTACATCTGGCATTAGCTGAAGTAGCAAAATAAATTAATCAAGTTTCTAAGCATATAAATGGGAGGGAGAAGAAGTGGGTGAAATTGAGCTGAAAAAGGAAAGAAGAAAATAATGAACTCTCAATCTAATACATTTTTATGTAAATATTTCTTATCTCTTTAAAGAAGTTTAAAAAGAGCTCTGCATCTTCTGAGTCTTTCAGAAATGCTACTGAGTCAAAACCAAGTTCATGCGTGCTATTTCTGTAGATTTCCATTCTTGGGGTTCAGCTTATTAGACAGCAATTTCTTTAATCAGTTTTGATATATAGGTGTTTGGTATTTCTATATGCTTCTTAGTAAGAGTAATTTTTTAGGGAAATATATGTGTAAATATATTGTAACTTTACTGCAGAAATTGAAATATAAATACTGTACTTAAATACTTTTTAAAAATTTTTGATACATAACCCCCCTTCTTTGTTAAACAGTACAATAGAGGGAATAATTAAGCAGAGAGATTTAGTGCATTTTAATAGTTTTCAGATTAAGAGGAAATGATAACGGATTTTTCTGAGTGATTGAAATGAATGCCTTTCTAACACTTTGACATATAACTAAAATAATCAAAATAAAGTGTGCTGATAAACACCAAGTTCAGTGTCCATGGTGCTGCAGTTACCACTGTTTTTTCTTGGAAATAATGTTTTATTTCTATTTTCTTTAAGATTTATATTGAGCGTTCTATGTTTTAATTACCATCATATAATCTGTTGGCATAAGACATAATCACGTGGCCTAGAACAAGCAGTGCTGAATGTGTTTTATAATTGTCTCTTTTCTGTTAGGTTATCGGTGAGTGGAATCCCTATTTGCTTTGATTTGCTAATTCATATTGTAAAAGATTCCTGCTTTTATCTTCCTCTTCGATACCAAAATGACCCTCTGAAGCCTGAAAAAATATTTCTTTTTCACTCTTGAGTGGCCAAATGTAATGCCGGACTTCTGCCACCACAAGAATTCTCTCTGAAATGCTGCTAACAATATTTAAACTGTGACTTGCGTGGGGTACATTTTATCAGTAATGACAGGGTATGTTAGAAGAACAGAAGTGATAGTAACTGTATGTAAGAAAGTGGTTAAGAGCAGAGCTTAATATTCAGACATCACTGGTTACTCTTATGTGCTGGAGTCATTTACTTGACTTGCAACAGAAAAAACTTCAGTGCTTGCTGTATGCTGGGCAGCATCCTATTTCATTCTG